GGTTACAAACAAAACTGACGTTTAATATGAGAAGCATATTCTTAAAGGGAGCAAACGGAGTAAGCAGAGAAAAAATCGATGAACGTCGAATAAATATTGAGGTACATTGAGTTACTCGCGCGTTACTCGCTGCAAAAAAGCAACTCAGAGTAAACCTGTCTCACTAGACTGATGCAAAATTTGAAATTTTCGCTCCACAGTTCTCAAACGGTTCCAAATTGGGTCCTGATTATCCTTCCAAAATTTGAACTCATTTAGTAAGAACCTGACTTGGCACAAACCATTTGAAGTTTATATGGAAATTACTATGGGGAAACCATAATTTCGGCTCATATCTATCTCAAAATTCACCAGTTCACTCTACTTTAGAAAATGATAACTGCGCTTGTTGAACATTTTATCAGCTACAAGTTCGTTCAAGACCACTTTTCGATCAAATGTAAGGAACAAAAATTATTAATGATTCAAGTCAATGATGTCTTATGATTATGCTCAATCAACTGTTCAGCAGGCAACAATGGTGTTTATGGCGCGTAGAATAGAGGACAAAAATCATGGCTACTATGTCACACTGCAGAATACAGTGTTGCCCACAATACAGTTGCTTAATCTTGCCATAAGATTATCAATCTCTTAAACAATTAATAACTATTTAATTTGACGTTTGGCTGAAAAATGATTTTCTGCAATGTTGTAGCTGATGAAAATTCCCATAAGAATAGCAATACAATTTGTTAACAGTACAATATGTAAAACGGCTAGACGAAAATGAACAAAAAGTTTGGTTTTCCCATAGTAATTCCTATATAAACTTCAAATGGTTTGTGCCAAGTCAGTTTCTTATCAAATGAGTATGAACTTTCGGAGGCTAATCAGGACCCGATTTGAAACCGTTTGAACACTGTGGAGCGAAAATTTCAAATTTTACATCAGTCTACTGTCTTCCCCTTGTTCTGTACCGGGTGTTATTATGGTAGACGTTCACCGAATCCTGTATCATAAGTACTCAACCGGAGAGTGGAAGATGTGCCTCTACATTATCATCATGCTTCTCGGGCAATCAGGAAGGATTGGACCTAAAATTCTCACCGGCGATAGTAGAAGCAGCAACAGACCTTCAGTAGCTTCCTAATGCCAGCAGTCGCTGAAGTGAGTACTGAATTCGTCTAACAGAGCTATACAATTTTTGGTAAGATAGTAAAACGACTGCAATTTTCCATGACTTTGAACTTTTGAACAACCTAATAAAAAAACAGGAGGCCCAAACCGCTGAGATTGTTTATTGACGAATTTAGAATTTACTAGTATTGCCAAAGGGTAGGTAACTCCGCACCCCAATCTTGGGTCAAAAATTGTCTCAGTGTGCCACAAGTGTGCCGCAGGTGTGCCGATTGTGCCGGCAGTGCCGATAATAGAGCAAGTTGTGATTTTTTGTAAAATATGAATACTATGGTATTTTTGTCAACCCGGCATTTCTGACAGCATTAATGGTTTGGTTTGCAATCGTAAGGATAACAGCGATCTAGCGACAACTATGGAGGAATGTTGGCGAGATGGACCGTGAGCGATCTCAGCCGTCCAACCGGACACAACAAAGTTAAAAATCTGGAGTGCAACCGGAAGTGTCCTTGCATCGAAAACCGTTGAATGTGATAATTGAACGGCCCCAAAAGTGCCAAATATCGTGCTCGATAAGGATTCCTTCTACCGACGAATAAAACGCCTCTACGCCAACTGGAAGGAACAAGAGTTTTCCCCTGATGATTCGCTGCAAAAGGTGGATTGCATTCTGACGGCGGTCGGCGTAGACGAGGAAACCATCTACACTACAGCACATTCATCTCGCTGCAGACCTGGCTGCTGGGATACGAGCTGATCGATACGATTACGGTGCTGTGCGAAAAGTCCATCTTTTTCCTGACCAGCAAGAAAGGAGCAAGAATAAGATCGACTTCTTGAAGCAGATCGAGAAGGACGGTGAGGAGGGCATTCCGTCCGTGAAGCTGTTGGTTCGGGATAAGAATGACAATGAGAAGGCCACTTTTGAAAAACTGCTGAAGGCGATCAAGGGATCCAAGGATGGCAAAACTTTGGGCGTCTTCTCCAAGGAGAACTTGAATTGTGTGAATCATGACGAGCCTTCGTCAAGGACAAGGCGATTATCCAGTCGGGTGGCAATTACAGCTTGAAGTTCAGTACATGCAGCGACAAGACCTGTCTGCACTTCGGATCGATCATCTGTGCTCTGTCAATCCGACGGAAACGATTCAGCAGCACTACACCTTTCTGCTCAATCTGGAAAGGAACTGCTGAAGGTGATGATTACGGTTAAGAATCTCTCGGAGGTTTTCGACGTCGGAATGACAAGATGGAAGATCCCAAGCTAAGACGTTCGGTTTTGCCATCGGGTTGGAGTTCCCGGAGAATTCGATCGTAGTACCTCAACCAGTGAAATTTGGTTAAAAATTTGTAAATTAATTAGGTTGAGTGGAAGCAATACAAATTGTGGCCTCTATAGTATACATTTCAGCAGCAAATCACCATCACTCGATCAGTTGGTCATCTACCAAACCAAACTTACTTGAACAATACCGAACTACTTTTCACGGCACAATCACATGGAATTTTTATTGCTTCCATTCAACCTAATTAACTTACATTTTTTTATAAGCAAAATCGAGCACCATTTATTCTACCTCGTATAAGTTGCCACATATCCGAAAATAAAACTACACTGGAGTCGCTTTTTACGCGGGTGATACGTCCCGCGTAAAAAAAAACCGCGTAAATTCCGGAATCCGCGTAAAAAAAAACCGCGTAAATTCCGAAATCCGCGTAAAAAAAAACCGAGTAAAAAAAAACCGTGTAAGAAAAAACCGCGTAAAAAGCGATATACCGCGTAAATTCTGAAATCCGCGTAAAAAAAAACCAAAATCCGCGTAAAAAAAAACCGCGTAAATTCCGGAATCCGCGTAAAAAAACCGCGTAAATTCCGAAATCCGCGTAAAAAAAAACCGCGTAAAAAAAAACCGTGTAAAAAAAACCGCGTAAAAAGCGACTCCAGTGTACTCTACATACGTCCTTACCACCGGAAAACAGTTGTTATACCCTTCACCGCCATCAAAGCATATCCATCATTGTCGCAGTAGTTGAACCAGGAGTTCTTGATTAGCCGGTAATCTTTTCCTTTAAGTTTTCCGTATTCAACCGCCACCACTGCATGATCCAATCCATCCAAATTGTTCTTGCATTTCGGTTCGTAGTACACTCCAGTTGCGTAGTAGCTGCAAGACTTGTGACTGGCATCGATAGCAATCGACAGCCCTCGGAAGCCTACATTTCAAATTTAAATGTGAACCGAGAAGTGAATTGCTGATCTGTGTTCCTCTAGTATATTCAATTAGAGTATGTTTCTGAAATACACAGTCAAACAGCACGTAATGTTGTGATCAACTTCAATGACAGCTGTCCAGCAGTGCTCCCATTTTATTTAATGAACAATCCAATGCCTACGAGATTGTGCCGAGGTTGAGCCGAATCTATTTTCGGAACACTGTGCTGAGTGACTTACCCCTTGAGTATTGCTTTGTTTCGTCTTTCTGATAGCTCTCAAATTTCAATCCGTTCATCCACTTCTTCCATCGACTAATATCCAACAGCATCCAAATGCTGGTCCAGGATCTTGATACCGGATGCCAATGTTTGATCCACTTTGTCTCTTCTTGTTATTCATTCATATTTTTCATCCTTGCTTGGTCTTACCGGAATTGCATATTTATAGCCCTGAAATTGCTGGCGGTTCCGATTGCGTTTATTAATACCACGGTTCAAATTGGCTTCGTTACCTTCGGTGTAGTTACCTTTACAATTCTACAAGCAGAATCCTTCTTAATGTAGCTAATACAGTCAATCTAAACTCCGAGATGGTTCAGTCCATAGAATGAGCTGTACGGCTGACTGATTGGTGAACCATCAATTTACCGAGTGGTTATCCGGGAAAAACTGCTGCAGTTTCAGACGCATCTACAGAATGGCAGGACCGTTCTGCACCGGGTTCTTGTTGACACCATACATTAAAGCTGCAATTGGAACTGGGTTTTGCAATTCTCTTTACCTTTAAAATTTACATACCTTTACAACGGCCATCTGGGGTAAGCAGGCCTATTCTACGTGGCTCTGACTCTGACTAGTTTGTTTGGGTCCCAAAACATAAATCTTTTCGAAACTATGGACATCCGTCAAATACCTTGTAGACTGTCGTTAGAGGTCCATCATCAAGGCACGGAGAGTCTCGTCAATTGTGTAATTTTTTATTATGATTTGGGATAACTTTGCTACAACTGTCCTGTCGAAATACGGTTAACCTTTATTTGGTTCCTGGTCATTGTGTTGCCAAAAACTTAAAACGCAAATTTTCTCAGATTGAGTATAATTATTTTCAATCTGATAGCACCATCATTACCCTTCACAAACTTCTTTTCAAAACTCATTTAAATCAAATTTGAGAATCGCTCTGAGATTCACATGATTTTTTTTTTTTATAACAGTTCAGAATTTCTATGCAAGACACTTCTAGCAAAATTAAATTCATCTTATGATAATCATCGAATTTTTTAATTATTATTTCAAACGTTTACGAATTTATTATAGAATTATGAAATAGCATTATTGTTGGCTACTTTTGTAGCCAATGACGATGGAGCATCCTAATGAGTTTGATTGAAGTTGATCTATTAAGACGCTTTGATATGCAGAGTAAGCTCATCTACCCAGCTGAACGCTCTTCTGTAGTTGGTCTCACTATCAACGGCAACATGATCAAATCATTGAATGTCAACACGGACCACTCTCAGTTCTCCAGTTGTGGATCACGCTATAACATATACAGTTGGTAGAAGCTACTGTTACGGTCTGCTTTGTTCATCACCTGTTAATCGGCTTTCATCCCAATCTTACTTACAGTACTATTTAGCGAAGTTCTCACATTCGTTTCTTCCCAGAAACCTCCATGGGCATCTCGATCAATGCCCTGGACAACCCCGATAACGCGTACGTCCAAGCGATCAAAGATTTCGGAGGCATCGTCATCGAGCGAACGTTCTCCGCTTTGCGCGCATTTCCACTGCTGTACTTCCTGCATCCATTCTACTGGCGCCAGCGAAAGCTTATCAAAACCATGCATGATTTCACCAATTCGGTGATCAAAGCCAAACGTCAGGCTTTCAAGGAGAAGCTCACGAATGGTAACTCAGACTCCATTGCCAAACCATCCGAAGACGACGGAATATACGGCATGAAGAAACGGATGACCTTTCTGGATCTGCTGATGAACGAGAGCTCCTTGAGCGATTCGGATATTCGCGAAGAAGTGGACACATTCATGTTCGAGGGTCACGATACGACCACTTCCGGGATGTTCTTCTCGCTAATGCTGCTGGCTATGCATCAGGATGTTCAACAACGGTTGTACGATGAGATTCGGGAAGTCCTCGGAGAAAATGCTAGAAGCACCACGTTGACCAATGGAACGCTGCAAGAGATGAAGTACCTGGACATGGTGATCAAGGAAGCACTCAGAATCTACCCATCGGTACCGATCATCGGTCGGGAGCTGCTGGAGGATGTCGAGATCAGTAAGTGTGGTTGGTGACTATTTATGTCGATTTTTTTTTTATAAATATCTATTCTTTCAGATGGATGCCAAGTGCCCCGGGGGACTGCCATGGTCGTAATCCTGTACAGCGTCCATCGGAATTCGAAAGTTTTTCCGGATCCGGAGCGTTTCGATCCGGAACGGTTTTCCGACGATCAGCTTAGTAAGCGTGGTCCGTACGATTACATACCGTTCAGCATGGGGGCTCGAAATTGCATAGGACAAAAGTACGCCCTGCTGGAGATGAAGGTCACGCTGGTGAAACTGCTTGCGTGGTACCGGTTCCTGCCGGGGAAGTCAACCGACTCGATTCGCATTCAGGGAGATTTCGTGCTGCGTCCGTCCGGCAATATGGCGCTGAGAATTGAGAAGAGATGTTGATCGGAATGGAGGGGGATGGCCATTTTCTCCGACGGTTATGTAGATTAGTTTTCAAATATGGAGGCGAACCAGCCCAAGGCTGAAAGCCTCCCTAATAAAGATAAATAATAATAATAATAGTTTTCAAATACAAAAAAATGTTTGGATGAAAAATGGGCCTTCGGAAAATCATAAAAAAAAGCATTAGTTTCTTAACATGTTATCTCATGAATTGAATCCAAAATTACGCAAATAAAGACACTACACAAAATCAAATTTCATATGTATCAAATGCTTCTCTAATTGAGAATCGACTGCAACTAGGAATTATTGTACAGATATCGGATTTTCAACCACACGGTGCATCAAAACGCTACTATGTTTTATGTCCGACGTTTCGGCCTTTGAACTTGACATTGTTCAGGGGATATAAATCTGTACCGTTCTCCTACAGGTTCCTCCAGAGTGCATGCAATTTATTAGCAAGTAGCAGCATGTAGCTTTCCAGTGATTTTGGGAACTGAATCGAAAAAACAACAGTCTGCCACTGCTGGTCGGTTGAAATGGTGAGGTTTAGAGTGGTCCTCACAGCCATTCTCACCCACCTTGACATGTTGATTTCTGAACCTTCAAGAAAACAAAATCAGTGGCGCCGGTGGTGTAGTGGTAAGCGTGATTGCCTCTCACCTAAAGGGCCTGGGATTTTCTGAGGCATAAAATCTCTGAAGGAAGGTATAGCTGGTGGTCCCCGGTCGTTTCAGCTATCCAGATGATGTCTTCAAAGTTACGACTCTTACGACAGAATCAGCACCCGGGTGTACAACCAGTCTTCCAACTTCAAACAAGACAGGCCTAGTCCATCGCTTACACTTACCTTGTAATTGACAGAGGTAATCTCTCTTCCATCTGTCCAAAAAAATCTGTAGATGCTGCTGAACTAATTGATACTGCCTTAAGCGGTTCAAAGGTACCAACCGTACGTCCGGCTCGGGAAGTGATTGTAAGGAACTGCCAACCAGGAAATACGTGGGGATAAAAGGCTCAAGATCATCAGGATCATCTGACATCGGAATCAGCGGCCTGGAATTCAAGCAGCCATCTACTTGAACCAGCAACGTAAACATATCCTCGTGTGAAACAGGATTGGAACCGATGACCCGTAGAATGTTTTGTTTAGCTGATCGTACCGGAGCTTCCCACAATCCTCCAAAGTGTGAGGAAACGTGAGGATTAACATGCAAACTAATCCCTTCGTCGGTACAGAACCAGAAGAACATCTTGTCGATGATCAGCATCCTTCCATAGACGAAAGAATTCCTCCAGCTGGTTGTGGGCTCCAACGAAATCAGCACCTCTCGGTGGACAAATCAGGCACACAAAAATGGAAATGTAGGCCGTATATAGACCGGACCAAAGTAGTTCACTCTGGTTTTGAAGAACGGACGGGAAACCGTAACCCTCGATGTCGGTAGTGCTCCCATGAACTGCTGCACTTGTTTTGGCTTCGACATGAAGCACGTTAGACATTGGTGGACAACATTTCTTCCTCCGAGAGGCCAGTACCGTTGCCAAACCGTTCCAAGCAAAATTTTCGGACCAGCGTGGAGTAAACGAAGATGGTTATGTTCAAAGACCATCCACCAACTCTTAAAATGCCATTCTCGATGATACCAGCAAAGTAGAGACCTTCTACTGACGGGTTCCTTCTTCCGAACGGCTTGTAGCTCATCCGGAAATACCTCTTCCTGTACCCAGGGAATCAAGAAAATGCTATCTTCCGATGCTTACCGACTATGAAAATACTAGTAAACGGAATCGTGATCAGTGTACAGTAAGATCATGGATTATTATTTGTGTTCCACATCATTATCAGCAACAAAAACGATATTCTAATGATATGATAACAATCACTTTGTAATATATCTCGAGATCTAGGAACTTGCTGTTTTCGGAAAAGTTGTTCTAGAGGTCAAATACCGTACAATATGGAAATTTTTGGAATCGGGAGGACCCATATATGTTGAAAATCAATCTAGGCCGCCATTTTGAAATCCGCCATCTCGACCGTTGGTTTCGGAAAAAAAAACTGTCAAATACCTTACAATATGGGTAAACCTAGAACTGGAATAACATGTAGATGTCGATAATCGATGTCCACCGCCATTTTGGAATACAATTTGGCGGCCTTTGTTTTTAGATAAAACTGTCCACTAGTCAAAATGGCGGCCGACATCGATTTTCGACATCCACACGTCAACCCGGTTTCAAAAATACCTATATTGTAGGGTACAGTTGTTTCTAAAACCAATAGCCGCCATCTTGGATTCCCAAATAGCGGCAGATATTAATTTTCTACATCTGCAAGTCATCCCTGTTCCGAAAATACCGGAATGACGGGACTGACATCAAATGTTTCCACTATGGGATTTCACAAATTTGACAGTACCCTCTTAACAGGTCTATAAATGTATGGCCCATAACAAACTTGAACAACACATACGAACTTTGCGGCTGTATTGCTATTTTACAGCTGTCGCTTACACCGAGGGGGACGACTCTATCTACGATGCAGAAAAGATTATGTTTTGCTGTGGCTAGCTGCGCGCACGCTGAGTAGACAGAAAAAAGATTGATGACGATTCTGAAGATTTCCTGCAAAAATATGATGCACGATGCAAGTAGATGCGCCAAATGAAAGAAGATTTTTCGAAGATTGATTCGCTAGTGTGAGATTTGTTGAGCATCTAAACTTGAGATTTAGATGTGTCGCCCCCCTCGGCTTACACCGCATGTGTTTGTTTTGCGTTGGTTGTAAGTGTGTGGGTAAAAAATAGCAGACAACAGAAATATACTGGCTTAGCAGCTCCTTGTCTGAAATCGATGGCCACCATCTTGGATTTCCAAATGGCGGCGGACATCAATTTTCGGCAGTTTTTTCTAAAATCGATGGCCACATTCGATCTCTTAACGTCATCACCATTCCGAAAATACTCATATTATAGGGTATTTGATTAGCCTTGTCTTACAAGAGGAATTTTCAGTGACGACAGCAGATGATGATGATCAGAGATTATCGCTATTTCATATGATCATGATCTGTTACACAACTGATAATCGCATTATCATTTCCTGAACTGTCCATTGTGATTTATGGATTTGTACTAATCATGAGTATAACCAAAATGAGAATGCCATTATCTTTATCTGAATCGTTGATTTTGATTCCCTGCCTGTACCTTCTGGTGCGATCGAGTCAACCGCAGCCAAATAGAGACGCGACGAATCAACGTCGTGTAGGATTTCGATTTGGAGATGAACTTTTCGTTGAAATTAGCAACTGCCTACGCTGTAACGACAATTGCAATATAGCATCTTTCTTCCTCACCTTCTTCTGCTGGAGCAGGATCAGAAATTGGCCAGTTGCTCCGCTTACCAGCTCGGCCCATGCCACCAGAAGTCGTTGTTGATGATATCCTTTCGGCCCTGTTCCCCTCGACATCAAGTCTGCCGGATTTTCAGCATCTGCTACTTGTCTCCAGTCATAGCCTTCCGTGAGCGCCTGAATTTTCGCAACCCTGTTCTAGTACTGATCCGGTAGACGGAGGAGCCTGGCACACGTTGAGTCCACCCAAAATGTTGTGCAGCCTTGAAGATTGGTAGCTACACGTACCTTTTCGAAGAGTTGAGCGGCAAGCAATGCAGCGCTAATGTGGTGTTTACATCTGTTCGGATTTGCTAGCGCTAGTGTACTAGCACTGTGCAAAAAACTAACCAGAATAATGTAAACAGGGCATTAGCGTCTACCAGCATGAGATTTCAGGAGCAACTGAAATTCGTGCTAGTTCTCTAGTACACAAGCGCTAGCAAATCCGCACAGATGTGAATGTTAGGATTGGCAATATCCGAACCCTCTTGTTTCGGTTAAAGTGGCCGAACCCTCTGCCGTCGATGCGACCGCGTGCGGAGAGCGCACCCTTTTTCTTTCGTCTTTCAAGAAAAGTACAGTTACATTTTACACGTCGTAGAGTAAAGTTCGTTCTAATAAAGCTGAAGTTATTTCCTTTGCATTATCTTAATTCCGCGTGTTTCGCGTATGTATTCCGATATCACTGCCTACCTGAATCTTATGAGGTTATGGACCCAGTGATCGCGAGTGTGGGAAAAAGAAAATAGGTGCGAAAAATGGACCGCGAGGCAGAAAACGCTCAAGTCCGTTCGGATGCAGGTTCTCCTACAGGAGCATGAGCTCCAGGAGTGCATCGAACAGGAAGCGGATGAGGTCGAGGAGTTGAAGGTGAAGGAAGAGGATTCTGCTGCCGTCCTGGAGGCGAAAGCCAAAGCAGCCGAAAAACGGGCGAAAAACGACCGCCCTTGCAAGTCGCTGCTGATTTCGCGGATAAATGACAACATGTTGGAGCATGTTCAGGAAAAGGAGTCTCCGTGGCCTGTGTGGTTGGCGTTGGAAGGAATTTTTCAACGAAAGAGCGTTGCAAGTTGCCTCCACTTGCAAAAGAAGCTGCTGCTGCTTCGCCACACCGGTGGCTGTCTGCAGGACCATTTCCTGACGTTCGAGCGGATTGTCCGGGACTACAAGTCAACCGGCGCAAAGTTGGAGGACATCGATGTGGTGTGCTACCTCCTGCTGACGTTAGGGCCAGGTTTTGCGACCGTCGTCACCGCCCTGGAGACAATGTCGGACGAGAAGTTGTCATTGGAATTCGTCAAGTGCATATTGCTTGATGAGGAGATCAAGCGTAGCGGCGCAGATGGCAGATCCCGTGACTCGAAAGTTGACGCTGCTGCTTTCAGCGGTGCTGGCGAGAAGAAGAGAAGTTTCCGTTGTTCCAGACGGGGATTCGGATAGATCGGGTGCAGACTCGGACGGGTCCGCTGAGGATTCAGACGGAAGCACTGAGGAAGACGAGTTTGATAGCTGTGTCGACAGAACGATCCAGGAAGAACCTACCGAAGAACAACAGCAAGAGGAAGCGGAATTGCCGGGACTCCGATCCAGAAGGACACGGAAGCCGCCGGGATGGCATCAGGAATACGAAATGAACTACACGGGATTTCCGTTGAATGCTACGACGAGTGCTACGAGCTTCGTGGACAACTTGCCAACTTCGCTGGCGGAGATGAAGAAGAGGCCGGATTGGGACAAGTGGGAAGCAGCCGTCCGCGAGGAAATGGACTCCCTTGAGCGAAACCAAACGTGGACGCTAGTCAAGCTACCCGAAGGAAGAGTACCTATCACGTGCAAGTGGCTGTTCAAGGTAAAACACAACGAAGGGGACGGGGAAGATCGCTGCAAAGCCAGACTGGTGGCCCGTGGATTCTACGTGCCTCTACGTCAAGGGATCCGGGTGCAACCAAGTCATCCTGGTGTTGTACGTAGATGATTTGCTCGTGGTTGGTCGTCAACTGAAGGCTGTGGAAGTGGTGAAGCTGTCCCTAGCAAGCGAGTTCGAAATGACGGACATAGGCGAAATGCGAACATTTCTCGGCATGAGGATTGACTGGAACGTGGAGGGAAGAGTTCTTCGGGTTAGCCAGAGAGGATTTCTGGAGAATTTGCTTTGTCGTTTCAACATGCACGAGTGCAAGGCTGTTTCAACACCGCTCGAGTGCCGTCTGCGCCTGAAGAAGGGAGAGGAAGCCGAACGTACCGAGAAACCGTACCGAGAATTGATCGGTTGTCTCATGTACGTGACATTGACGTCCAGGCCGGACTTGTGTGTGGCAGTCAGCTTCCTAAGCCAGTTCTAAAGTTGCCCTACGGAACTGCACTGGGTGCACGCGAAGAGAGTACTGCGGTACATTCAAGGAACGCTGGACTTGGGACTAGTGTTTTTGGACAAAGGATTCGGCACCGGTAATCGAAGCGTTTGCCGATGCGGATTGGGCGAATGACCCTGTCGATAGGCGTTCGCTCACAGGATACCTCTTCCGGGTATGTGGTTCGACTGTTAGCTGGCTGACCAGGATGCAATCAACCATCTCACTCTCCTCAACGGAAGCGGAGCTGGTGGCGCTGAGTACCACTGTATGCCACGGTGTTTGTGGCATACGACTGCTGAAGGATTTGGCGAATAAACCGGAAGGTCCGGTTGTGTACCACGAAGATAACCAATCGATGATTCGAGTAGTCCAAGAGGAGCGTGATACCGGTCGCTTGAAGCACGTCGACGTCAAGCACCGATTCGTCCGTGAAGAGATTCAGCTGGGGCGTGTGGCCGTCCGTTACATCCCGACTGGTGAACAGCTAGCGGACATCATGACCAAGGCACATCAAGGGTTTGCCGGTAAGTTCGTTCCAGAAGCATAGAGCCAACTTGGGGTTGGCATGTTCCGGACATTGAGCGGGGGTGTTAGGATTGGCAATATCCGAACCCTCTTGTTTCGGTTAAAGTGGCCGAACCCCCTGCCATCGATCTGTCATCTTTCTTCTTTCAAGAAAAGTAAAGTTACATTTCACACGTCGTAGAGTAAAGTTCGTCCTAAATAAACCTGAAGTTATTTCGTTTGCATTATATTCATTCCGCGTGTTTCGCGTCTTTATTCCGATATCACTGCCAACCTGAATCAAGGGGGGGAGGTGGCTGTCAAATACGAACAATCTTCGCCTACCTCGCATAACTGGTTCCAAACGTAAACAAGCCATAAGAAACCTACAGGGTCTGTTTACGTTTGGAACCAGTTTCATACAAGATGATCAGTAGGCTGATTTGACAGCACATCCCCCCCAGACCTGAATCTTATGAAGTTTGACAGATAAAATTAGGGGTTCGTGGATTTTCCTATGTTTCGAGGGGTGCATCGATTAGCGTGGGACCGAAGATATTATCAGAGCTGAGCCAAAAAGTTGAGCACGTTTCTTCGGGACCTTCTGGTCTTACAGTTACCTCTATGGTAGTACCAATAGACTGAGTGAATCCAATTTTCGGGATTATTTTTCCTTGATAAACCTGGAAAATTTACTCATCGCTGAGTTCCCTCACTTTATGTGATTTATGAGTTAACATTCTCCAGTAGTGTGATTGAAACCTAAGAAAAACATCCCATCAGTTTCTAGTTCAGCAAGCAACGTAAAAAAATGTAATTTTCTCATTCAGTAAGAAAATGTAATTCACTTTCTATGATGATCGATTTTTGCAATTGGAAATGTTATGCCTGAAAGTCTTCCTTCTAAAAAAAATCCAGTTGGATTAATTCCAACCAACTCCAACCAACTTGCTTCCAATATTGCATACCACATTTATATCCACTGAATCTAGTACATCATTTTGCACTGGACTCCAGCTAGACGTCGTATTATATAACAAATTTGACACTGACTGGAATTGCGAACACGTCATTGACTTCTTCTTTGATTGGATTGGTGCAAGATGGAGAAGTAATTTTCACCAGTGACATTGACAGGTGTGTTCTTCTTCGCCACTACTTATTTCATTCACCATTAAGGTTCAATAACAATAACATCGATCTCTCAGCTTATTGCCCGTCATTATAGGTAGAGCCAACTTTAGGCGTTAAACAATAGAAAATCGGATTGGTTGTTCAATAGTTTATCAGCTGAGCAGTAAATTCAGTCAAAGGTATGTTTCTGCAGGGGTGTGGTGAGCGGATGCATTAATTTGTTTTGATACAAGTGTGAATCCCTAGAATCGGGTCATCCCATTCCCAGATAGGTACAGGAAAAATCGATTTTTCCACAATCAATTATTACTACGCTATATGTTTTGCGTTTCATTATACTAGTAGAACTTAAATTGGATTTCGCTTGAATTGTAGCGACGAAGAAGACGATATTTGCACCAATCTATTTTTAGTTTCATCACGTTCCTGAATTATAATCAACCTGTCACGTGTGACTCTATTGCAGACCAATGGAAGTCAACAAGGATGAGGCGAGGCGGTGCATTGACATCGCGCTGGCAGCCTTCAGGGCGGGCAATATGGAGAAGGCGCAGAAGTTTGCGGAGAAATCCCAGCGATTGTTCCCACTGCAGGAAGCCGCTGATTTGCTTCGAATAGTGCAGAAATTTGCCTCTTCGGGAAGCAGTTCAACCAGGCCAAAGACAACCGAAGAAAATACGTCCCGTCGGAGGCCAGTTAACAAGGAGAAGGAGAAACCGCAGGAACCGAAGCTCAATGTAGACTACAGCCAGGAGCAGCTGGATGCGGTGAAGCGGATCAAGAAATGCAAAGATTACTACGAAGTGTTAGGTATTACGAAGGAGTCTACCGATTCGGAGATTAAGAAAGCCTACAAAAAGCTAGCCCTGCAACTGCACCCGGATAAGAACAAAGCTCCCGGAGCGGTTGAAGCATTCAAATCCCTCGGCAACGCTGTTGCCATTTTGACAGACGCTCAGAAGCGCAAAGAATACGATCTATATGGAAGCAAGGACAACGCTAGTCATAATACTGGTTTCGCTGGAAATGGTGCCCACAATCACCATGAATACAGTTTCGGTCGCAGCTTCGAGTCGGATATCAATCCGAACGATCTGTTCAACATGTTCTTCGGTGGGGGCTTTCCTCCGCAGCAGGCACGTGGCCGAGCTCGGTGGCAGTCGCAGGAATCGAATTCCGGTAGTCAACCGAGCCTTATCTTCGGCTTGGTCCTGTGCTTCATCGTTGTATCCATGCTATCTACCTTCTTTGCCTCGGACCCACTGTACAGCCTTCAGCAGACGCCGTGAGTATTTCACACACACTCAGATTTTTTAATTCTAATTATCAAATCCCCCCTACTTCCAGCAAATACTTCGTGGAACGTCGGACGCTAAACTTCAAGATTCCGTACTACGTGAAGGAATCGTTCGTTACCGAGTACCAAGGTTCACTCAGCCGGCTGGAACACTCCGTCGAGGAGGAGTACATCCTGTACATGAAGCGGAATTGCTACAACGAACGGAACTATCGGGATGCCATGATGGCCCGGGCCAAGAACTTCGGAAGCCGAACGCAACTCAATCAGGCTCAACAGCTGAAGATGCCAGCTTGTGATGCCTTGTACAAGCTGGGCATCGGCCGGGTTAACTACTAGGGCTAGAAAAACAAATTCTCGTTTCATATTAGGAGTATTATTTATTTAAGTACGTATTTACGATAATCATCAGCTTCAATGTTGTTTCTAGGAATATTTGGGAGTCGCTGTTGTGTGGTAGGTAGTGTTGGTGCAGCTTGGACCATGTCAAGTCAAGGGTATCGTGTTTTAGTAGATGTAGTAAGAGAGATTTTTTTTGTACTGGACTTTAACCGAATTCCACTGATAATGTATCTGCTAAATCTAATATACTGGTGGATATTACACATTCCTAGTTTGATAGCAAAGAAGAACTGTTTCTTTTCAACAAGCTTTAATAAAGGTAATGAATGCCCTATTTACAGCGATTGTAATTTATTACGGCAGAAGCCCCTACATGCTCCTCTTTATATATGACGGGGTTTAACGAGGAGTTTGGGCCAGTGTTGGAAAAATCATCAATCAAATGATATTTTTCCGCTCTCATACACTCTCAATATCACGCGTGATATTGGAACAAAATAAAATGCTTCATTGTTTTCCCTTGATTTGTTTTCCGTACTGAGTACCAATACTGCCGAAGCCAGAGAGACAGCACCGGCACCTGTACTCTACCTATCGACCTAACAAACTCATAGACCGGGGACCAACGGCTTTAATTCGCTTCCGTGATCAGAGATCTTATGTCTCAGAAAATCCCGGCGGCGCCGACTGGGATTAAACCCAGGCCTTTTGGGGTGAAAAGCAATCACGCTTACCACTACACCGCTGGTACCGCTGATGCTTAATAACTCTTTGATATTATGAGAATATTTACAACATATAAAGAGAGAGAGAAGGATTAGTAATTTCCATAATTCCACTACCTTATTTGCTTATCCATGACAGATACGCGTATTTCGTCTACAATGTGCAGACTTCTTCAGTGTCTTGTACTAATACTCGATTATTAGTACAAGACACTGAAGAAGTCTGCACATTGTAGTCGAAATACCCGTATCTGTCAAGGATAAGCAAATAAGGTAGTGGAATTAAATAGCAACTACTAATCCTTCCCTCTCTCTCTCTCTCTCTCTCTCTCTTTATACAGGTATTCCACTCATAGCGAATTCGTTTATTATTCAGTTCCAACCTGGATCGGGTATCAAGATTGGGTCTGCTTGTTTTCTGACAAACGTCAGTTTGCTAGTTTGTTTTTAAAACCTAGCTCAGGTTGAGGTTCGCACTGACAAAAAGTTCGGTTTCGCACTGGGTTGGGACTGGTTCCAACCCCGATAATAAACGAATTCGCTATAAGACACCAACATTTATCAGGATTCACAACATGTAAAAATGAAGCTGAGAGTCGACTCGACACAAAAATGATTCCGTTGCACATCGTTTTTAAAAGAGAAGTCCGCCCCATAGCACAAATCAGCAAGCCGAGAAAAACGTGTTTTAAGGGGGGAGTACACTTTGATTTTTCAAAAAAAAAAGCATTTTTTTTTTTGGCTTAAAATGTTCCTTGGGATGTATACTTTAATTTAGAAAAGACTCCAAGTCCGCCAGAATATTCCTTACCGCTTTACGAAGCGATTTCTTAAAACATGTACCGGCGCGCTGAGAGAGCATTTTTATCTTTAAACGCGTTTATCTCGAAACGGGGTTTTTCAAACTGGCGTGGGAAATAACTCTAACCAGTTATCATCAAATTTGGATATCGCCTAGGTTTTTTTTTGTTCAGAATTAAATTCTGCTTAGAAATACGTATCCACATTTTCGATTTTGTCAAAAATGGATTTTTAATCCACGATTTTGTAAGCATTTTTAGGGTGGACTTGGACTTGCGATGATAAATCTCTTTACTCTTCATCGATGGCAGGCACGAAGCTACTGCTGCCAGCAGCGACGGTAGTTTCGGGTCGCTTTCGGATTTAAAGCAAAAATCATGAAACTCAAATTCACCACGGTTTGGTTAGAATTGCAGCTGGTGAGTTTTGTTTGCTTGATATCCGTAGCTATCACAGCTTGTAATATCATTCGCAGTTGTTTACTTGTTGATTTTTGTCTACGAAAATGAAGCGTGATCTTGAGCAATGGTGAGATTTGATTTTTTAGTATTTTCCCAACGCAGGGTTACTTGACCAGGTTGATTTCAAATATCTTCATAGGTTTTCAAAATCTGTCCATAACTACACATGGTTTTTCTGGGTTCTTAATTAATGGTTTTGTTTTATTCGATACAAAATCTGGGGTGGATTATTTTAACTTTTGGATAAAATTTGACAGATGGAAAGTTATCGATTAACCCTACTATCCGAGCGTGGTTACTTACTGGTTACAGACAAGAAGTTAAATGTTGACAACTGTGGCTGAGTTCTTCTTGAAAACCAGTCGATCGACAGCACAGGGATTTTCGAACATAGAAAATAACTTTCGAAATGTCACTTTTAACCACGGGTTTAATTTAACTCAGCAAATGGTTCACAGCCTAAGAGCTCTACCATAAAATAAACTCTGGTTTCGGATTCTAACTGAAGGACACTTTATTTTGAAATTTGAGCGATGTATTTCTTATTGACTAATCACAGTTGGCACTCGTTGAGAATAGAAGAACTATGAGAGTGATGATGAGAGTGGTTGATGCCACGTTAGTAGAAAACTTAAGGACTACTCAAAAGATACATAATATAGAAAAAATAATTTCTTTTTATATTTTTAGGTTAATACATAGATTTCCGCTTTTCTACCACTGTAGCAGCAACCATATTTAAATAAAATGGTCCATTTGCAAAATAAAAGCATTTTAAGATTGCACTCGTATACCTCTCCGTGTAAAATTTTAAAACCAAAACGTTCGCTTGAGTTCGGTTTCAATGAAAATAGAAAGTGACATTTGTAGGTACATACATACATACATACATTTATTGGTAAAACATCAAATTTAAGATAAGACATAATCAACAATAGTACGCCACAATACTCGGTTTGCGGCTGCCGCTCTCCATCCTCGGTCATGCCCAATGCTCGCTAGATCACGCTCTACCTGGTCCGCCCATCGTGCTCTCTGCGCTCCACGCCTTCTTGTGCCAACCGGATCAGTAGCGAACACCAACTTTGCAGGGTTGTTGTCCGGTATTCTTGCAACATGCCCTGCCCACCGCATCCTTCCGGCCTTGGCCACCTTCTGGATGCTGGGTTCGCTGTAGAGTGCAGCGAGCTCGTGGTTCATTCTTCGCCGCCACTCACCGTTCTCCTGCACACCGCCGAAGATCGTCCTTAGCACACGTCGTTCGAAAACTCCGAGTGCTTGCAGGTCCTCCTCGAGCATAGTCCATGTCTCGTGTCCATAGAGGACCACCGGTCTTATTAGCGTTCTGTACATGGTACATTTGGTGCGGGGGTGAATCTTTTTTGACCGTAGTTTCTTCTGGAGCCCGTAGTAGGCACGACTTCCACTGATGATGCGCCTTCGTATTTCACGACTCTCATTGTTGTCAGCCGTCATTAAGGATCCAAGGTAAACGAATTCCTCCACTACCTCGAAAGTATCCCCGTCTATCGTGACATTACTTCCTAGACGAATCCTGTCATGTTCGGTTCCGCCTACTAGCATGTACTTTGTTTTTGACGCACTCACCACCAGTCCGACCTTTGCTGCTTCGTGTTTCAGGCGGGTGTATAGTTCTGCCACCGTTCCAAATGTTCTTGCGATAATGTCCATGTCGTCCGCAAAGCATACAAATTGACCGGATTTCGTGAAAATCGTACCCCGGCTGTTGAGCCCGGCTCGTCGCATTACACCTTCTAGAGCAATGTTGAAGAGTAGGCATGAGAGTCCGTCACCTTGTCGCAGTTCCCGGCGAGATTCGAATGAACTGGATAGTTCACCCGAAATCCTTACGCAGTTTTGCACACCGTCCATCGTTGCTTTGATCAGTCTGATCAGTTTCCCAGGAAAGCCGTTCTCGTCCATGATTTTCCATAGCTCTGTGCGGTCGATACTGTCGTATGCCGCCTTAAAGTCGATGAACAAATGATGCGTTGGGACCTGGTATTAATGGCATTTCTGGGGGATTTGCCGTACGGTGAAGATCTGGTCCGTTGTCTGTCGGCCGTCAACGAAGCCGGCTTGATAACTTCCCACGAACTCGGTCTTTTTAGGTGATAGACGACGGAAAATGATCTGGGATAGCACTTTTTAGGCGGCATTCAAAATGGTGATCGCTCTGAAGTTCTCACATTCCAAATGGTCGCCTTTCTTGTGAATGGGGCAGATTACCCCCTCCTTCCATTCCTCCGGTAGCTGTTCTGTTTCCCAGATTCTGACTATCATCCGGTGCAGGCAGGTGGCCAACTTTTCTGGGCCCATCTTGATGAGTTCGGCTTCGATACCATCCTTACCAGCTGCTTTGTTGTTTTTGAGCTGCTGAGTGGAGTCCTTAACTTCCCTCAGCGTGGGAGTTGGATCAGTTCTGTCCTCTGCTGCACTGACGTAGTCGTTTCCTCCATTGCGCTGGTCTCCCGTGCCTACGTTCTCCTCGCCATTCAGGTGCGCATCGAAGTGCTGCTTCCACCTTTCAATCACCGCACGTCCGTCCGTCAAGAGGCTCCCGTCCTTATCCTTGCAAATTTCGGCTCGCGGCACGATGCCGTTGCGGGATGCGTTGAGCTTCTGGTAGAACTTCCGTGTTTCTTGGGAACGGCACAGCAGTTCCATTTCCTCGCACTCCGCTTCTTCCAGGCGCCGTTTGACCATCACCAGATAGTGGTCAGAGTCGATGTTAGCGCCACGATAGGTCCTGACGTCGATAATGTCGGAAAAGTGCCGTCCATCAATCAGAACGTGGTCGATTTGCGATTCCGTCTGCTGTGGTGATCTCCAGGTGTAACGATAAGGGAGGTGGTGTTGGAAGAAGGTGCTACGTATGGCCATGTTCTTGAAGGCGGCGAAATCGATGAGTCGTAGGCCGTTCCCGTTCGCCAGCTGGTGGGCGCTGAACTTTCCAATCGTCGGTCTGAATTCCTCCTCCTGGCCTACCTGTGCGTTTAGGTCTCCTATGATGATCTTGACGTCATGGCTTGAGCAGCGATCGTACTCGCGGTCGAGCTGCGCGTAAAATGCGTCCTTGTCATCATCAGTGCTTCCGGAGTGAGGGCTGTGCACGTTGATTATGCTAAAGTTGAAGAATCGGCCCTTGATCCTCAACCTGCACATTCTTTCGTCGATCGGCCACCAACCGATCACGCGCTTCTGCAATTCGCCCATCACGATGAAAGCTGTGCCCAGCTCGCGTGTGTTGCCGCAACTCTGGTAGATGGTATGATTACCTCTGAACGTTCGCACCATGGATCCTGTCCAACACACCTCCTCCAGCGCTACG